AGTCCACCTTTCATCCAAAGATTAGACAGGCCTATAAAACAAATAACACATACGAGGAACATGCTTCTTAGCTCAGTCAAGTATAGAAGATCAAATGGGCAACACCAGCCCAAAAGCAAAGATGAGAAGGAAGGAAGGGACAGGAAATCTGGACAAATGGACATAGAGAATGCAGGGTGGAAAGGGAATGGGGGAGAGTGCTGACATATTGCAGAGATTGCAACCAATGTGACAAAACAATTTGTTTACAAATTTTTGAATGAGAAAGTAATTTAAACTTTCACCTTAAACACAGTAAGATTAAAATATATATATATATATATATATATATACACACAGAGTATGTTCTCATACTGCAATGAAACTATGGTGGACATCAATTACAAAAATATAAGAAAACAATTCCCAAAGGTTCCAAAATGAAGAAATAAACTATATAACACCTGGATCAAAGAAAAAATTCACAACAGAAATTAGGAAATAATTTTGAACTGAATGATGATGAAAATACTGAATATCAAAACTTGTAGAACACAGTTAAAGCAAATGATACCCAGAAATTTATAGCTTTAAATGAGTATATTTTAAAAGAAAGCTGAAATTAATTAGTTTAAAGTAATAAGCTATCCTCAAGCAGTTATATAATTTTTTTAAAAATCCAAAAAACAAGGAAAGAACAAAAATAAGAGTAGAAATCAATGAAATAGAATAGTGACACAATAGAGAAGAACAAAAATACAAAAGTGTATTCTTTGAAAAGACTAACAAAATTAATTTTTTTTAATGCGAGGCAAGAAAAGGAGATAAAAAATATAAGGTTTGAAAAAGAGGAAACAAAACTGTCGTTATTTTAAAATATTGTGTATATACAAACCCAGAAGAGCCACACTAAAAAAATAATAGAATTAATATGAGAGTTTGATATGATGACTGTTAAGGAACACACAAGAGGACATCTGAGGGGCTGGCACTTTTTTTTTTAATTATTATATTGAACATTCATGTTTTATGTACATTTCTGTATGCGTTATACTTCAAAGTTTTAAAAAAATTGTTTTTAAAAAATGGTAAGTGCCACAAGAGAGTAGGTTTTAAATTGGTATTGATTGAATGGCCATTCTACCATTTTTATTTATCTAGAGGAGGTTGGAAGAGGAAGTAAGTAGTGCAGTGGAGTGAGATTAAGGGAGAGTGGTTTGCCCACTGATAGAGCCAGTAAGTGAGGGTGAGGGACACAGAAGAGGGAAGGAGAGAGCATTTATCTAATATTGCCCTGTATTAGATAAATGTTATCTCCTTCCCTCTTCTGTCCCCCTCACCCTCACTTATTGGCTCTACCAGTGGGCTACAAAGTGGAGCCCTGGTGGCACAGTGGTTAAGAGCTCAGCTACTAACCAAAAGGTTGGCAGTTCGAATCCACCAGCTGCTCCTTGGAAACTCTGTGGGGCAGCTCTGCTCTGTCCTATAAGGTTGCTATGAGGCAGAATCGACTTGACGGCAATGAGTTTGGTTGTTTTGTTTTGTTTTGTTTTTTTAATATTCCAAGCACTATGCCAAGGTATTTTATATATCTATTAACTAGTAGTTTATATAAGCATCAAGCCTGCGAGAAAAACACTGTCATCCCAGTTCTACAAACAAGGAAACCAAGATTCAGAGAGGTTAAGCAAATTGTTCAGCAAGATACAAGTAGGAAGCCAGAGTTTGAACCAAGGGCTAACTCTAAACCAATGCTTCCTCCGCTGTGTCTTGTGGCTTCCTCAGTTCCAAAAATTCCTAGTTATGCATCTAATGGTTTAGCCATATTTGTAGTCGCTTCTTTGTCTGATTCTTATCCTTATTTTTTTTTCTTTTAGGTCTTCCTTTCTTCCTTCCCAATAGGATAGATTCCCCATTTCTCTGTCCTCAGTACTCTTAAACCTATTAGCCTAGCTCACAAAATTAAGCCAAACCTGAGATGTTAAGGCATTAGTGTATCCTGTGGGAATACAGACGTGTAACAGGGAAGTCACTCTGGGGGTAATATGGAGCCAGAATAAGCCAGGAGAGATATAAGACCTGAATTTTTTTTTTTTTTAATTTTATTTTTTTTCTTTAAAGCAGCTGGTATGTAGTTTTACTCAGGCAACTCTTGCCACCTGGTGGTCAAACCATATAAATTAGCATTCTGGATCCTGGTAATCATATCAATTCCCTAAATTTGTCAGGACTAAAAACGTTATAGTGGGGAGTGTATCCTAGAAGCTGAGCAGCCTTGTGAGCTGCACCCAGGACCAGTAAAGGATTCCACATGGTGCACATTGGGCAGCTGAGTCTCTGCGTGTCATTGTGGCTATCGTGTATATGGGAATTGTGTATTTATTTATTGTTGATCTTGCTTCCCTGCCCCCCACCCACCCAACTCTGAATCACACTTACTGCAAAAGTGGCCACTTTAGATCTCTTTAAACATAGCAGAAATTGTTCAGGTATTTCCTACACAACCATTTTAGCATCAAATACGTATGAAAGCCTGTTCCTGGACATGAAGGGCTGAATATTGGTGCTTTTCTTAACCAAACACTGGATTTCCATCTGAGACTGTTTTTGAACTTGACAGGGCCTATTGGATATTTATGAAAAACCTGAGAGTTGATCACTGTGAGGCTCTAGGTTTAGATGTGCCCTTTATGCTTGTTGGGTGTTTTTTTAATAAAGTAACTGCTTTGCAGAGGGATCTTGTTATCTCTAAAGTAAAACAGATTAGGAAAGCTGTTTTTCAAAGGGATGAGAAAGCATCCATTTCCAGATGTGTCAAAAACTACTGAATCACACTGTCAAAGGATTATGCGGTTGAAGGCAGAAATCAGAAAGAAAGAAAAAACTAATTTTTACCATACTATTAAATAAAGGACTCAGATTAGTTTTAGAGTACTCTTTCCTTTGACAAAATAATTGATGAACAATTTTTAAAACATATTTCTAAACTGGAGACTTTTTCTTCTGGATCCTTAGACACGGGAGGGAATATCAAATCTCCCGGAAATCTGGCAGACCACAGAATAGAATAATTTTTATTCCACAGATTTCATATCAGTTGCTTCAAGGACACATGGGACATCATGGTCTATTTAGAGTTATAGCTGGCCTGAGTTTTCTCTTGAGTGGATGTATTTATATAAATACTGAACTTAATTGGCTTTATAGTTTTCCTCTAAATCAAAATGGAATATTCACACTGTTACCAGACCAAGGCAAGATGGAACCAGTAGCGAAAATTTAAATAGCTATATTCTTAAAAGAAAGATAAACATTGGTCTGTCTGTGGTAGGTATAATTAACTACTCCGTCTAGAAGTCCAAGTATGGTTCTCTATCACAGAATAAAAAGTTAAATCTTATGCTTAACCCAGAATAAGCTTTTGTTGTAGGCTTTCTTCCATATTCTGACTCTGTTTATATGGCTCTTACTCATTTCCAGTTTCAATATAAGATGTATGTAAGATGTTAAAAAAAAAAAAATGTGCTAGTTCTTACCATGTGCTGGGTGCTCAGAATACAGTGAGGAAAATAAGATGAAGTTCCCTTTTTCAAGGAATTTACATTTGGGGGCTAGGAGAGGGGTGAGGAGAGAAAGACAGACCATAAACAAATGAATAGTATCAGGCACTGATAAATGCTATGATTAAAAATAAAGCAGCATAAGAGTCAGAAAGTTCTCAAAGTGACATATGAGCAACACCCTGAAAGAAATAAAGATTTGAAACAGGTGACTACCTAGGGGCAAAGCATGCCAGACAGAGGAAAAAGCAAGTGCAAAAGCCCCAAGGCACAGCAAGCAAGCCAGTGGGTCTGGAGTGGAGTAAGCAAGGGAGAGAGTGAAAGAAGATGCATTTGGAAAGCTACGCAGGGGTCACTTTATAAGGACTTTGTAAGACATGGTTAGCATTTTGCTATTATTCTAATAGTGATGAGAAGTCAGATTGGCTTAATGGTTCAGCAGCCTCACAAATGTGTTCCTACAAGACTCACCACCCTCACTCCATTTCTTTGCTCAAATTTGGAAAATGTTATACACTTCATCCTTTCCTCTGTTAGAGATTCACAATCACAAAATCATATTCCATGTTCTGAGACATTCAGAGTAAAGCTATCTGTTTGTTCATGTTAAACTTATTTTTCATGGAACTCTTTCTGAGTAACATTTATTAATTTTAGGAGTTACTAAAACATGGTGGTGCAGACACAAATAGCATGAATTTATTCCCTCCCTGTTCATTCGCATGATTGTTCACTCAGTAGCCAAGGATAATATTGCAATCCCAACCATTGTATAGGTATACTCATTGGGCACAAGGAGAGCAAGTGTGCAGCACTTATCTAGGTTCACTGTATGGTGCCTTGGAGTCCAGTTACCCAGTCATTTGTTCATTTAAGCCAGCTTTTGTTAAACTCCATCTAAAAACTGCAGATGCTCCATAGATGGTTTTTAGATTAATAAAGGATTAGTGAATGAAAGAAGGGCTCTGCAGAATGGTGAAATAGTATCATTTTCTAATAGGAGCCGCATTTATCTGGTAGTGCTTCTTTCCATACACACCCCCCACTGTCACTCACCAGACAGGACCCACAAAAGTTGAAAAGACTTTGTGATGGTCGCTGGCGTGACAAGACAAACAGTACATACTAAGCAGTTGATATAGTCAGTGTAATCAGTATTTGCAATGTGCAAACCTACATTGTTCCGAGAGAGTGATACAGTCTGAAGACAGAATATCTGCTGTGATATAAATTCAGTATAGAAAGCTGGGTTCTTTTCAGAGTTTAGTGGAACTTTTCTAGGTAGAAACTTATTTAAGATTATTGACATAAATGCCCCCTTTGGAGGCACGAAACATGCCTTTCAGGAATTGCCTTTTCAGCACGGAAACATAGATCATATGGGCAGCAAAAAGGCACAGCACTGACCAAGGCAAGAACAAAGCCTGAACACAATTGGATGTTGGTGTCTTTGATTTACAGAGCAGACTACGGACAGTGAGATCAAAGATGAAGCAGTCACAAAGGCTGATTCTCTTGAAAAGGTAAAGAATGATTTTCCTTAAAGTGTAGATGACAAGTAAGGTAATCTGACAAAACCATGGCCCAGAGTGAGAAATACACACAATAAAGGAGATGCTCAGAGGACAAAGCTGATGGTAGAGGAGAGAGATTATTTAGACATCCCCAGACAGCTTCCAGCTGGAGAGAAAGGGGTTAATTTTACTAGTCAGCTCAAGCAAAACTTCCAAACTCCACGCTCCTCTCTAGACAGTGTGGCTTGGCATCCTCACAAACACCTGCTGACCATACAGCCATGTAGAACTAACGCTGTCTTGAAGTGAGTTCAGAAAACCTGCCTATAATTGCTAACAGGACTCAGAAGAGTATAACCTAACAATAAAAATATTTAGATTATGTTGCCCATAAAAAAAAAAGTCAAAGGCATACTCTTTCTGGCAGCAGTTCTCCTAAAATGTTGCCATATGGATTTATACATATGCAGATTTCCCCAATTAGAGTGCATGCTGGTGGGTTGGTGGAGTCCAAGAGGGTTCCTTTTGGACTTAAATTAAAGCTGAAATTGTGTTCCTACGATTTTTAGAAACCGAAGAAGATGACGGTGGAAGCAAATTTAGAGGACATAAAGAAAACGCAGCAGCGCAGTCTAATGGACTGGAGTTTTACTGAACATTTTAAACCGAAAGTACTGCTTCAGGTATTTATGAACTGATTCTCTAGGAGACGGTCAGATGGGTCTGGGGAGTCACTGTATGATTTAGAACAGTTCATGTCTAGGTTATTCTCTCAGATCTAGTTCAGATCAATATTCCCATTTACTCTAGCTGTAAAATGAGTTTATTCCCAGGTTGTGCTAGGCATCCCCAGGGAAGCTCCAACAGTTTAAAATATACTTTTCCAAAGAACATTTTTATAAAACCTTTTAAGGAAAGAGAAATATACATAACTGTTGCACATATTTTCTAGAAAAAAGTAAGACATTAATGAGAAGCAACTTTTTTTTTTCCCATATTGCCTGTCAGTTCTGTTCAGTTTTCACTTATTTTCCAAATGTTTTCTAATGCTATCAACAGGTCAATGGTAGCTATGATAGCTAACACTTATTGAATACTTGCCACATTCTAAGCCGTGTTCAACATGTATTATTAGCTCACAATATCCCTATGAAGTAGAAACTACTTAAGTAGTAGGAAACTGAGGCACCTAGACCAATAATAATTTTTTTTATTGTACTTTAGATGAAGGTTTACAGAACAAATAGTTTCTCATTAAACAGTCAGTACACATATTGTTTTATGACATTGGTTAACAACCCCATGACATGTCAACACTCTCCCTTCTTGACCCTGAGGACCTTTTTTTTGATGAAAATATACATAGCCAAAGTTACACCATTTCAAAAGTTTCTGCATGTACTATTCAGTGACATCGATTACATTCTTCCAGTTGTGCTGCTATTCTCACTATCCTTTTCCAAATTATTCCATCACCATTATCTTCAACTCACTGTTCCCTAGGCTTCCCATCCAACCTTTTGAGTTGCTGTTGTCAATTTGACCTCATATAGATAATTCTTTTTTTTTTTTTTGTACCTTAGATGAAGGTTTGCAGAACAAATAGTTTCTCATTAAACAGTACGCGTATTGCCCTATGACAATCGTTAACAACCCCATGACATGTCAACCCTGTCCCTTCTCAACCTTGGGTCCCCTATCACCAGCTTTCCTGTCCCCTCCTGCCTTCTAGTCCTTGTCCCTGGACTGCTGTGCCTCATTAGTGCTGTTTTGTTTTATGAGGCTGTCCAATCCCTGGCTGAACAGTGAACTTCGGGAGGGGCTTCACCACTGAGCTAAAAGGGTGACCAGGGGCCATAATCTTGGGGTTTCTCCAGTCTGTCAGGCTAGTAAATCTGGTCTTTTTTTCGTGAGTTAGAATTCTGTTCTACATCCTTGTCCAGCTCTGTCCAGGACCTTCTATTGTGATCCCGGTCAGAGCAGTCAGTGGTGGTTGCCGGGCACCATCTAGCTGTACTGGACTCAGTCTGGTGGAGGCTGTGGTAGCTGTGGTCCATTTGTCCTTTGGACTAATTTTTTCCTTGTATTTTGTTCTCTTCATTCTCCCTTGCTCCCAAAGGGGTGAGACCTCTGGAGTATCTTAGATGGGACCAATAATAATTTTTGCCCAACATCATGTGGTTGGCAAGTGACAGAGTCAGAATATAAAACCAGAAAACTGGCCCCAGAGTGTGCTGTTAACCACCATGCCAAATAACAAACAATCCTAAAAGGAACTCCTTTTGTTGTTTGGGATTTTATACAAAAATCTGTACTGTTTTTGTTTTTTCCTTTTAATTTGAATTTTGTTTTTATCAAAGTTTTATGTAGACATATTTTAAGAGCCAGAAAGTTCTGGCTTTTAGTAATAAAACACAGGTAAATATATTTTGGTAGTCTCTGCTTTCAGCCAATATCCATCTGACGTAGGCAATGATATCCATCGTCCCAGGTCCTCTTCTGAATCCTACTTGAATTTCTGGCAGTTACCTGTCTACTCCAACGGCTTTTGAATGATCTTCAGCAAAATTTTACTCCTTTGTGATATTAATGATATCGTTTGATAATTTCCACATTCTGTTGGATCACCTTTCTTTGAAATGGACACGTATGTGGATCTCTTCCAGTCAGTTGACCAGGCAGCTGTCTTCCAAATTTCTTGGCAGAGATAAGTGAGCGCCTCCTGTGCTGCATCTGTTTGTTGAAACATCTCAATTGGTAATCCATCAATTCCTGGAGCCTTGTTTTTCGCCAATGCCTTCAATGCAGCTTGAACTTCTTCCTTCAGTACTATCAGTTCTTGATCATATGCTACCTCCTGAAATGGTTGAACATCAATCAATTCTTTTTGGTACAGTGACTCCATCTTTTTTGATGTTTCCTCCATCGTTTAATATTTTCCCTGTAGAATCCTTCAATATTGCAACTCAAGGCTTGAATTTTTTCTTCAGTTCTTTCAGCTTGAGAAACGTTAAGCGTGTTCTTCTCTTTTGGTTTTCTAACTCCAGGTCTTTGCACATTTTGTTATAATACTTTACTTTGTCTTCTCAAGCTGCCTTTTGACACTTTCTGTTCAACCCTTTTACTTCATCATTTCTTCCTTTTGCTTTAGCTACTCTCTGTTCAAGAGCAAGTTTCAGAGTCTCTTCTGACATCAGTTTTGGTCTTTTCTTTCTTTCCTGTCTTTTTAATGACCTCTTGCTTTCTTCATGTATGATGTCCTTGATGTCATTCTACAACTCATCTGGTCTTCAGCCATTAGTGTTTGACGCATCAGATCTATTCTTGAGACGATCTCTAAATTCAGGTGGAATATACTCAAGGTCGTATTTTGGCTCTCGTGGACTTGTTCTAATTTTCTTCAACTTGAACTTGCATATTAGCAATTGATGGTCTGTTCTGCAGTTAGCCCCTGGCCTTGTTCTGACTGATGATATTGAGCTTCTCCATCATCTCTTTCCACAGATGTAGTCAATTTGATTTCTGTGTATTCTGTCTGGCGAGGTCTACATGTATTGTCGCCATTTATGTTGGTGAAAAAAGGTATTTGCAATGAAGTCGTTGGTCCTGCAAAATTCTATCATGCAGTTTTCTAGCATCATTTCTATCACCAAGGCCATATTTTCCAACTACTGTTCCTTCTTCTTTGTTTCCAATTTTCCCATTTCAATCACCATTAGTTATCAATATATCCTGATTGCATGTTCTATCAATTTCAGACTGCAAAAGTTGGTAAAAATCTTCAATTTCTTCTTCTTTGGCCTTAGCGGTTCGTGTGTAAATTTGAGTAATAGCCATATTAATTAGGCTTCCTTGTAGGCGTGTGCATATTATCCTATCACTGACAGCATTGTACTTCAGGATAGATCTTGAAATGTTCTTTTTAACAATGCACGTGATGCCATTCCTCTTCAATATGTCATTTCCGGCATAGTAGACCATATGATTGTTCTATTCAAAATGGCCAATACCAGCCCATTTCAATTCATTAATGCCTAGGATATTGATCTTCAAGCATCCCATTTGATTTTTGACAACTCCCAGTTTTCCTAGATTCATATTTCATACATTGCGTGTTCCGATTACTAATGGATGTTTGCAGCAATTTCTTCCTCATTTTGAGTCCTGCCACATCAGCAAATGAAGGTCCCAAAAGCTTGACTCCATTCATGTCATTAAGGTCAACTCTGCTTTTAGGAGACAGCTCTTCCCCAGTTGTATTTTGAGTGCCTTCCAACCTGACGGGCTCATCTTCTGGCACTATATCAGATGATGTTCCATTGCTAATTTTTTCAGACATAGACTGCCAGTTCCTTCTTCCTAGTCTGTCTTAGTCTGGAAGCTCTGCTGAAACCTGTCCATCATGGGTGACCCTGCTGATATTTGAATACTGGTGGCATAGCTTCCAGCATCCCAGCAACACACACGCCACCGCAGTGGGAAAACTGACAGACATGGTAAAAATTAATCTTAGGATTCAGCTTTCTAAGTTTGTTAAGTCGGTTACCACTTATCCTTCTGCTTTCCAGCTTCTAAAATTTTGTTACCTTTGTCTCTTCTGTAGCCTTCAACTTTATGATACTAAAAAATAATAATTTTACTCATTCTTTAGTGAGATATCAGGGAATGCATGTTTTATATTCCATCTTTAAGTGAAAGTGCATTTCAGAATTTATTGTATTTCAGTTTAGCTCTGTCCTCATCATACTATAGAACTACACTTTTCAAGGTCACCAATAATAGCTGTCTTTCCGAATCCAGTAGACACTTATCTTTCTTATCTTCCTTGATCTTTTAACAGCATCACAGAGCTGATCACTTCCATATGAAATACTCTCTGCTCTTGTGGTTAAGAGCTTGCCTGCTAACAAAAAGGTAGGCAGTTCAAATCTACCAGCCACTCCTTGGAAACCCTATGGGGCAGTTCTACTCTGTACTATAGGATTGCTATGAGTCGGAATCAACTCAACAGCAATGGGTTTGGTTTTTTTCGTTTTGTACTCTATTCTACCTCTGGTTTCCAAGATTTCACACTGTATTTCTCCTCGTGCTTCATTTGGAATTTAGTTGACTTCTCCTCCACCCAGTATCTAAATTTTGAAGTTCATCAAGGCTCAGACCTGGACCATCTTCTCTTCTCTGTAAATACTCTCTTTGGATGATCTCATTTATTATAAAGCTGATGACTCCTACATTTGTATCTTCCAAATTACCTCTCTCCCTCGAGCTCCACACTCATCTACCTAACTCCACATTCCACTTCTTCTGATAGACATATCAAACTTAGTGTCCCATATAAAGCTAGTAATTGTCCAACCTAAGCATGTTTCTCCGTGGTTCATCTCAGAAAATGTCACCATCATTCAACTGCTCAAGCCAAAAGGCTAAGACTCAATCTCCATTCCAACCTTTCATTTGTCCCCCACATCTGATCCATCATTGAGTTTTGAGGGATACATCTCCAAACTATATCTGAAATCTCTTCATTCTTTCCACTGCTGCTACAGTAATCCAACTATCTTTTCTTTCTACTGCAATATTCTCCTAATTATTAATCTGCTTTCACTTTTCCCCATTCCAATCCATTCTCCACATATCAGAAAGTCTATCAATTTCATCTTCTTATATACTCTTCTCTGACTCCCACATGATATATAAAAAAATTTAATCATATTTTATAGGAAAATTCAAAACCCTCCCAGGGCCTGTAAAACCTGATAATAGGCAAACTCCTTTTTTGCCACTTTCCCGAGTTCATTATGCTTTAGTCACACTATTTTCTTTTCTGTTCTTTATTTCCTTTATTGCACTTATCACAATTTGTATTATATATAGTATGTATATATATATTCTTTTTTGTTGACTGTCTTCCCTGATAAAATGTAGACTACCCCTAAAAGCAGAGGCCTTGCCTATCTTGTTCATTGTTGTTTTCCCAGTACCTACACAGCGCTTGGCACATAGTTGTTGTTGTTGTTGTGTCCATCGAGTCAATTCCAACTCATAGCGAGTAAAATTGCTCCATAGGGTTTCCAAGGAGAGGCTGGTGGATTCTAACTGCCGACTTTTTTGGTTAGCAGCCTGAGCTCTTAACCACTTTGCCACCAGGACATATAATAGGTACTCATTTTTAATGAAAGAATTTACTAACTAATCAGTGATACTAACAATATTAGTACAGAATAAAGGGCACAAGCCAAGTAGTAAAATAAGACAAGAATGATATTATATGAAAACTTTTCAAACACTGTTTGAGAAAAGTATAGCTCTGTATTTCCTAGTGCTAGCACAAAGATTGTGATCTTTCACTGTCTGATAGAAAGGAGAATATATGTTTATTAGAAAAAGGCACAGTTATTTTCTGGGTTTAAACTCTGAGAGGAATTTGCCTTTCAAAAAAACGTCAGTAAAGTAATGGATAATACCCTATGTAGCGATTTTTTTTTAAATGCTAAGATATTCGCCATATGTATATTTCTTGTATTGGCCCCCAGGGAACAGTTGTAAAAATTTCAGTGCCACTCCATAAAGGCACTCATACAGAGGACTGGATTGGGGAAGCAAATGTATAATTTTGGTTATGCTACCAGTGTAGAATTGAAAGCAAAAGTAAAACAGCCCTTTCCTAACATAATGTGTAATTCCATGCCTTCAGATCATCTACACAGTAGAGAGCTGAGAGCTGCCCACATCAGACTGATATTGAAAAAACAAAAAACCCACAGCAGTTGAACTAATTTCCTTACGGACGTATTTCCTTCTGTCGATTGGCAGTGAGCAGGAAACGGGATGCCAGCTGCCCACTGAAGCCTTCTGTGGGTGTTGCTGTTAGAGGGTGACATGTTTTGGAAAAGGCCAGCCTGAGAAGTCAAATAGAAACAATGCATGTCAGAAAGACCACTCATTTGTTTCATTGTGAGACAGCGTGGTGTAGTGGAGAGCTTCTGTGGAGTGGGAAATGGTGGAATTTAGGGTCAAAAGACGGGTCTGAGCCCTGGCACCAGCACTTTCTAACTCTGTGTTCTTAGACAAACCTTTTATATTCTCTCAGCCCCAATGTATGCTTAAAATGAGGATTCTAATAATTTAAAATGGGAAAAATAGTCATACCTATTTATCTGGGTTTTTTAATAGTGATAAAATGAGATAATCTTTATGAAGTCATGGAAAACGCTGAATAAATAACCGCTTGACCTAATTATTGTCTATGAGCCCTGGTGGTGCAGTGGTTAAGAGCTCGGCTGCTAACCAAAAGGTCAGCAGTTCGAATCCACCAGCCACTCCTTGGAAACCCTATGGGGCAGTTCTACTCTCTCCTACAGGGTCGCTGTAAGTTGGAATCGACCCGACGGCAATGAGTTTGGTTTTGGTTTTCTATCCTTAATGAAGAGCCCTTGAGAAAATGCCTGTATGCCTGTTGTTGTTGTTGTTTTTGGGTGTCATCGAGTCAATTTCAACTCATATTGACCTCATGTGACAGAGTAAAACTGCTCCATAGGGTTTTCTTGACTGTAATCTTTATGGAGGCAGATCACCAGGTCTTTTTCCTGCAGAGCTGCTGGGTGAGTTTGAACAGCCAACCTCTCAGCTAGTAGCCGAGCATGTAACCATTGCACCACCAGGGCCCCTTGCTTGTATGCCTAGAACCTAGTAGTTGTTTTTCTCTAACAGTTGCTGAAATGCCCAGCAAAATATATACCATTTATGCCCTCACTTTCTGGCAATTAAGAAATAATCCTCTGTGAATCTAAACTTACCTAAGAATATGGAGATAAGTGGAGAAAGAAAAGGGCAGCAGAGAAACACCCTAGCAAGAGATGCTGTCTTGGAATAAAAAAAAAAAAAAAGGGCATAGTAATGCAGTTATTTCAATTTTCAGGTTCTTCAAGAAGCCAATCAGCAATACAGGTGTATTGATTCCTATTACCATACCCAAGACAACTCTTTACTCTTAGTCTTTCATAACCCAATGAACACACAACGTCTGCACTGCGAATATTGGAACATTGCTCTTCACTCCAATGTTGGATTCAGGTAACCAACTTAGATAGTTTAGTTAACTATATAGTTAATTAATTTAGTTTAGTTAGCTTCTTACTTAGTTACTTGGTTTTTAGTTCCTTAGCCTAAACTAAGTGGTTCAGCTCAATAAGAACATTTGCGTGGTACGTTGGATTCAATTCAGCTCACCAAATTGAATGTCTGCTGTATGCCAGGCACTGTGATTGGCACTGAAGCCATACCACTGAAAAACACAGACATCATTCTTACTCTCAGGGAGCCCAGCGGGGATGTTAAATTACATTTTATTTTAGGCTCCAGTAAGACGTCTCTGAAAGATTTCAAGTAGAAACTAAAAAACACGACATTCAGAATGCTGGTTTTGGATAACTCCACTTGATCTGGGAGGACTCAAAAGTAGAGCGATTGAGTGACATACCAACACAGCAGTCAAGTTCCCAGTAAACTGAGACCTCTAGGAATCAATGTGTTCCCCCCCACCCCCAGCTCCTTACAGATTTCTTTGCTTTCCTAGAACTGTTTTATCCCTCCTCATTAATAATGAGGGCATTTCATTATTATCTCCTAGTGCTTAATGTATAAAAAACAAAAACAAAACTGTTGCTGTTGATTCGATTCTGACTCATAGCGACCCTATAAAACAGAGTAGAATGGCCCAATAGGATTTCCCAGGCTGTAATCTTTACAGAAACAGATTGCCATATCTTTCTCCCATGGAGCAGCTAGTGGGTTAGCAGCCAAGCACTTAACCACTGTGCCAACAGGGCTCCTTGCTTAATGTATATTAAGTATTTATGTGTATATCATTGTTTTAGTTCCAAGGGCTGGAGAAAGATATAGAGCATAGATTTACAGAATAATTGAGGGAACAGGTTGCATACATACACACACACATACACACACACTAAAGTCATAAAATGATTTTTTTTTTAGTTAAGGCATATAATAGGTATATTGAGAATATCTTGAAGTATTAATCTGTATTTTTCTTTGTTTTGTTTTTTCATTGCCAATAATTATAATTTTCATATATTTTCTGATCTTATTTGCTGACTAGGACCTTCAGTATAATTTTAGGAGGGCATCCACGTCTTCTTTAAAGAGAATGTTTGAATATTTAACCTTTAAATGTGTTTTTTGCTGTACAGTTTATGTAGATACTGTTTATTAGGTTAGTAAAGTTCCCTTCTATTACTAGTTTGCTATGAGTTCTTAATCATAAATGGTTGTTAAATCTTATCAAATGATTTTTCTGCATCAATTCAAGTGTTCATATTTCTTTCTTTTAATTGGTTAGCATGCTGAATTTCATTAACAGATATTCTAGTGTTGAACATAACTTGCATTCTTGGTATAAAGCCAATTTGGTCATTATGTTATATAGATATAGATATTTGCTGGATTTGGTTTGCTAATACATTGTTTAGAATATTTGCATTGTGTTCATGGGCAAGATTCAGCTGTAATTTTCCCCTTTGTCCTGTTTGGGTATTAAGATTATACTAACCTCATGAATTAACTGAGAAATTTTCTTCTTTTTTTATTTATATGTTTTGATTTTCTAAAAGGATTTGTGTAAGATTAAGATATATGTTCCTTTAGTGTTTGATAGAACTTAAGATAAAAGCATCTAGGTCTGGGGAGATGTTTAGTTACTGATTTATAATTTCTTTTGTGGCTGTTAGACTCTTCAGGTTTTATATTTATTCTTGAGTTAGGTTTGATAATTTATATACTTCTAGGAATTTGATCATTTCACCTGCTTGTAAAGTTATTGGCATAAATTTGATTCAAAAATTCTCTTCCCTTTTTAATCTGTGTTACATCTTACTGAATTCCTTTTAGTTTCTGATATATTTACTCTGTGATTTCTCTGTATTTTTGTGGATAAATCTTAACAGAGACTTGTCAATTTTATTAATATTTTTAAAGAGCTAACTCTTGCTTTCTAATTCTCCTTTTTATTTCATTTAATTATGCTATCATTTTTATTATTTTCTGTCAGTTTTCTTGGATTGTTCTGATGTTCTTTTGCTTCTTAAATTAGAAGCTTATCTCATGATTTTTCGGGTTTTTTTTTTTTTTCTTTATAGTATAAGCATGCAAAGAAAAATCTTTTCCAAATACCACTTTAGCAACATCCCAAAAGATCTGATTGATAGTATTTTTATTATCTTTTATTTCTAATTTCCATTATGATTTCTAATTTGACTCATGGGTTATATAGAAATGGGAGTTGTAATTGTAAACATTTTGGCCGTGAGTTACTTTTTTTTTTCTCCAACGACTTTGTTATGCTAGCCTCGTGGAATGAAATAACAATTATATACTTTTTTTTTTTTATGATTTGGCATTCCAGCACAAGGTAATTATGGATTGAAATTGACAACTAGATTTACAAGGTGCAATAGGCTTTAGTCCAATCCTACATTTACTTAACTATAGAAGAATAACCCATTGCTGCCAAGTCGATTCTGACTTATAGCAATCCTATAGGACAAGAGTAGAACTGCCCTATAGGGTTTCCAAGGCTGTAATTTTTACAGGAGCAGACTGCCACATCTTTCTCCCACAGAGTGGCTGGTGGGTTCAAACTGCCAACCTTTTTTGGTTAGTAGCTAAACGTTTAACCATCGCACCACCAGGTCTCCTTATTAAAATAATACAAGGCAGGAAATACAGCATGACTAAAATCTTCATCTCATCAGACAACTCAGCAGGTACCCCTGCATATAATGTCTTTTGCTTCCTTCACCCACACTGATTGTGTATGACTGCCCAAGGTGAGCACCAGATTACGTGTGAGACACCTTCACACAGAGAAACCACAGCCTCAGTTTCCCACGAAGGCCTGCATGCCAGAGCCTGCACATTAGCTCTCAGCTCTCTCATCAAAGTGCAGTCCCACAGATATGAGGTTTCACAGCAAACAAGGCAGTCAAAATATTGCACATGTATCTGAACTCCGTATTTCCCAAAAAATACTGTTGGAAATTGAACAACAAGGTCATTTTCCCAGGCCCGTTGCTAATGCTTTACTCACATATACAGTAGCTTACATCATATAGTATATTATCTATTCTTAGAAGGATAATACACTTCACATGGAAAACCATTTAGAGTCAGTGGCTTCCTGAGGGCTGGACCGCAGGACCCAAGGGAAGCGATGGTAGTGCGAAGGAATGACAACCTTTTTATTTCTTCTAAGGGTAGTCCTTATTCAGATTTTCTACTTCTTCTTGAATTGATTTTAGGAATTTATATTTTGCTAGGGAATCATGCATGACGTCTAGATTTTCTAGTCTATTGGCATGAAATTAAACACAGTATTCTCGTGATAAATATCAGTTTCTGAGAAAGGTGTATTATTGTCTCTCTTTATAATTATGGATTTATCTGTTTCTTTTATCTATTAGTTCTATATGTATACCATGTGTGTGTGTATTTATTTTTGAATCTGTGTTTTTAGATACATGCTTAATAGATTGTAACTTTTATCAGTATAAAATAGCCCTCTGTGTTCCCTTTAATGCTTTGCATCTTGAATTTAACCATGTCTGATATTAATATTATTGGACATTCTTTCTTTATGTAAGAGTTTATTGATATAAGTTTCAATCATTTTATGTGTCAGCTAGAAATTGTGTTTCATTATATTAATGGAAACCTGACTACAGTGGTTAAACTAACAAGGGGGTTATTTTTCTCATGTAGTAAGAAATCTGGAGTTGGGCAGTGCCGCAGGGATAGTGCAGCTACTCACTATGGTTATCAAGGACTCAGGCTTCTTCTGGCTTCCTATTCAGCTATCTGTCACATTTTAATTTTTCTGCATAATTTTTCTTTTGTGGGTGCATCTCTATGTAATAGTAGCTAGAATTTATTTTTTTAGCCATTCTGAGAGCCTCTGTTTTTTAAATAGAACTTGATCCTTTCACTTTCATTTTTATTGATAATGTTTTTGAGTTCATTGTTATCAATTAATTTTATAAACATGTTTATATTTTAGTATCTATCCCTTTCCTTCCTTTTTTGATTGAATTTTTTTAGTTCATTCTTAGCATGTGATTTTTTTTTAAAGTTATCCATTCTATTTATATTCCTCTAGAAGGTACATTTATCCTTTTAAATCACATATTTAAACACTTTTTTTATATCATGGTTGACATTAATTAATATTAATTTAATTTCCCAGGAAACGTTTAAAATATTAACATAAATTCACTTTCCCCAAACATATCCCTGCCCCCCATTTTGCAATTATCTAGAAATTTTGTTTTTGATTGTAATGTTTTATAATCACAAGTAAATAGTATAGATATTTACCTTTAATTATAAATTTTACTGTCTTCTTTCCTCAATCCTTTTACTTACGTCCCATGTTGTCTTCCGTCCTGAATTTATTTGATTTTTCAATGTAGCTAGAATGCATTTGTAATTTGTTCAGAAAGTATCTGTGAATGGTAAGCTTCCTGAATCTTTTCATGCTTTAATATTCTTTATCTTGTGCTCTCATGAGAATACTATGAGCCTATGTTCCGTCATCACAGATCACTCTAAGGACTCTAGTTTTTATTCAAATACAAAATTATTGGAAGGTTCTGAGAAGAGGAGAGACATGATCTGACTTAAGAATTAAAAGGGTTATGGGGTCAATGATAGGAGCAAGGAGACCAGTTGGAAGGCTATTGCAGCAATCCTAGCAAGAGATGGTAGTGGCTTAAGTCAGGATGATAGCAGTAAAGAAGGTGAGAAGTGATCAGATTTTGCATATATTTTAAAAGTAAAAATCATTTGAATGCCCTGACAGATTGGAGGAGGGGTCTGGGAAAATGAGCAGAGTGAAGAATAACTTCAGGTTATTTGGCCTCCTCAACTGGAAGTGTAGACTTGCCATCAGCTGAGATGTCAAAGGCTTTGATGGGGCAGTTTGGAGTGGAAGATCAAGAGTTCATCTTGGAACATGTTGAGAATAAGAAGTCAATTATTTTCCAAAACAAAAAAATGTTGAGCACCCATGATTCATAGCCTACAATTTTCAGTTTATTTCCTTTAAATGGATCAAGAACTAAAGAAAATTTCGAAGCAACCTGAGTGTAGAATCCATCTAGCTTTATTTTTTCAAAATGTTAGTCTTCACTTTCACATAATAACAATAATAACAAAACAATAACCAAACAAAACCATTGCATCAAGTTGATTACGACTCATGGCAACCCCATGTGTTTCAGAGTAGAACTGCGCTCCAGAAGGTTTTCAATGCTTATGATCTTTCAGAAGTAGATCACCAGGCCTCTTTTCCGAGTTATCTCTGGGTGATTCAAACCACCAACCTTTTGATTAGTAGCAGAGCGTTTAACCATTTGTGCCACACAGGGACTCCTAACTTAACAATAACTAATCTTTATTTTCAGATCTAAATCTTTCAGCTTATTTCCTCTGAAACAACTCTCTTTGGACATTCATATGTGATAAGTGTATATAACATTTAATTTAAAACATTACAATAGTCAGTATAACTACTTATATATGGATTTGGGAGCAAATATGACTGATTCTTGGTAAGCAACAACTCACTGATGTGAGCATAAATGCCCAAGCAGCTTAGGGAGTAGTATTTAGTGTGTGGATATTCACAAGGCCATTATGTTTTATAGCACGACTGGGGTGTTTTTAGTAAATCCAGTGAGTTAGCTAGCTGGTATTCAATTAAGAGTTTCTACCAGGTTATAAAATTGCCTTAAAAAGAGATTGCACCATATTACTTTTCAACCAACAGTGTTTGAGAGAGACTGTTTCTTCAAACTGTAGTCAACCCTCGGTATTGTCAAACTCTTTAAGTCTTGACTTGGAGGAAATGATATCTCATTTTTTAATTTACATGTCTTCAGCTGTGAATGAACTTGAGCATGTTTCATATACTCACTGTATATTTGTGCTTGACTACTTTGTTCAGAATTCATCTAGGATATCTCCAAGACTATTATATTTAATTACACAAGCAGTTGAAGAACAATTAATTCATTTTTTAAAGGTTCATTTGCACAGTCAGTGTCTCAAGTATATTTTTTTACTTTAACTAATGGTAACTCAATTGTCGTCTGCTCTTCCTTGCTTTTCTTAGAAATTATTTGGAACTTGTTGCAAAATCCATTCAAGACTGGATCACAAAAGAAGAAGCTATATATCAAGAATCTAAAATGGCTGAGGATATAGCTAGGACCAAGACTGACGTAGAAATCAAATCTTCTTGCAAAATTTCTTCTCCTAGCAAAATCTATTCTCCTAAAAAATCTAAAAGTAAGTAACCAGTTCAACTTATACCTAAATTCCAAAAGACATTAGACATTCTCCTATTTATTAATTTAATCAAGACTGTGGGTATTTTCAGGATTTAAAAGAGTTACCCACAAAATTCCTGTGACTCTTCACTTCCTCTAATAAATACAATATTATGAGATTGTGCTGACTGGAGATAATGGAATATTTGTCTTATATTGACCCCACTTTCTGCCAGATCAGGAAGATTTTATCTGTTGTGCAGGTCAAATGTGATGTGTTAGGGAAATGTCAAATGTCTTTATAGGATTGGTAGGTTCAGCTATCTTACATGTGTTGACAATATATGAGGTAAATTCAGACTCAGTTGGTCTCCATTAAAATAATTGTAGATTCCAAAAGTGAGATCAAAATAAGACCCTCCTTAGAACAGCAAGCAGACGAGTCCCAAACTGAACTGGGGGTACAAAGTGAGAGATAAAGGGAAAAAGGATTCTTGGTGGCCTGTAACAGAGACTTGACAGGATCTTGGATTAATACCCATATCTTTGTTTTTACCGTTGTTAATTTCCATGGCTTTGAAGCTCTGGAGGAAAGGCAGAAGAGGTGCCAAAGAAAGTGAAGTAGATTTTTAGAAGGATACTTGATAAAGAAAAGCAGTGAAACAATGAGGTAATTTGTTCAGAAAATAAGAATATTTCACCGAGTTTGTGCCAAGAGAGTAGACTCTATGCCAGTAATAGTCAGTATTTCTGATAGTCAAAATGACAGTGATTTCTCATAAAGAAGCAAGATTTTTGCAACCCTTGTCAATTACCAGAGGAATCTGTAGTGGATTTGATTCTAAAATAAAACTTACAAAACAAAGTTGATGATCAATTGTACACCATCCACCAAAGTGGTTGTGTAATACATCAGCTCTACCTTTATTCTGATGGGGGTCCAACAGAAGAACACTGTTGTTGTGTGCTGTCAAATCAGTTCTGACTCGTAGCGACCCTATATGACAGGGTAGAACTACCCCATAAGATTTCCTAGGCCATAATCTTTACAGGAGCAAATTGCCAGGTCTTTTCTCCCTGGAGCCACTGGTGGGTTCAAACTGCCAACCTTTCAGTTAGCAGCTGAGTGTTTAAGCACTGCACCACCAAGGCTCCTTAGAAGAGTGCTAGGTACCTAGAATAATGAATGGGACTGTACAAAAAGCAGACATAAGTCCACTCTCTCACAATCGTGTCTAGGGCTATACTTGCCTATTAACTGGAAAGATTCTGAGTTGATGGCCTTTTCTTTATTCTGCTTCTGAGCAGAACCAAAAGCTTTATAACTATCTAGGTGCCTGCAGAAATCCATAAAATGATCAACTTGGGATCAAAATACACTAGGTAGGTATTGCATTCAGTTTGAGGCCTTTCAAGTTAAGAAAGATGTAGACCTTCAAAACAGAATGACCACGATGGCAAGAGGAGACAGCAATATGGAAGGAAAAGTTAGACTTGTTTTGTGTGGTCTCAAGGGGTTAAAGTAGAGTATTTGATGAAAGCTTTACAAAGACAGATTCCAGTTCAATTAAAGTTGCAACATCTCAACACATTATCTAAGAATGGAATGCATTGCACCCAGAGGGAGTGAGTTCCCCATCACTGAAGGAGCTCAGCGGACTTCAGATGTCTGCTAGGGATGGCATGTAAAGAATTCAGTGATGTGTTACTGGGGAGTTGAACTCGATAGCCTTTGATATCCCCCTGCAGCCCATAGCTTTGGTCCTTCTATGCTACTTTATTTTAGGGAGTTACTGAGAGTTTAATTTCTCTGGTTATAGGTAACAAAGGAATCAGCAAAGTAGAGATATCAGAGAGTGAAAAAGAGAAAGAAAAAGAGAAGGAAAAGATTCCTTTCATTTTAGAAGGCTCTCTCAAGGTAATCCAAGGAAGACAAATGATACAAAGTAATCACAAATTCAAAATTATTTTGTGATGGAAAGTTTGTGTGGTATAACAGGAAATGATCTTTTTGCTAAGCCCTCAAGAATAATTGAATCTGCAATGAAAGGACGGTCTCTCCACCAGGCTGTCTCCTCTACCAGATGATAAACGTTTAAGGAAAGCTATGTTTTATTAATTTATATATAACCACCATCTAGGGAAGTGCCTGGTTCAGACTTGGTATACTCTGTTTGTGCTGTAGTTGTTTGGTTTTGTTTGCATAATTTTAATTGGAATTTTCAGTGACAAAAGTAGCACAAGTTTTTGTAATAAATCAAAATTACCCTAGCTATCCTAAGCCCCTAAAATAAGAAATATTAATAATTTGGTATGTTCTATGTTCATACGAGCTCATATGTACAAATATACCAAAGGATTTTGTTTTGTTTAGATTTGGTTTGATTTTTTTACTCTGCCACTTGCTTTTTTTCTCTTTGCAATATATGATGAATTTCTCTTCAGGACAATATATAGAGATCTAACTTATTTTTCACAGTGATATATTATTCCATAATTTGGTTATACCATAATTTATTCAACAATTCCCTCATTAATGGACACACATTGTATTTCTACAGATACAGAAATATTTCAATTTTATGTAGTCAAATCTATCATTTTGGCAAAAATTTAAAAGACTAACAATACCAAGTTTTGGAAAGGATGTGAAGTAATATGAATTCTCATACACTTCTGATTGGAGTATAAATTGGTACTTACACTTTAGAAAACTGACCATATATATCAAAGTTAAGCATACACTTTCTCTTTAACCTAGAGAGTTCACTTCTAAGTATATACCTAATAAAAATGCCAGTACCTGTGCACCAAGACACATGGACAAAATTGTTCTTGCAGCATTATTTGTAACTCTTCTAAACAAGAGACAATTCAAATATTCATCAGTAGAATGCCTAAACTATGGTATAGTTATATGAGGAAATACTATGAAGCCATGGAAATGAATGTCCTGCAGTCACCAGCAATGTGAATGAATCTCACAAACATTACGTTAAGCAAAAAAGACAGAGTCAAAAGAATATATACATCACATGTGATTTCATTTCTATAAAGTTTAAAAACAGGCAAAACTAAATAAAATATTACAAGTCAGAAAAGTGGTTGCCTCTGAGAGAGTGGGGTTGGGTAGTGATTGAGAAGAAGCATAAAAAGAGCTTTTGGGGAGCTGGAGGTATTCTATTTCTTGACCTGGGTGGTGGTTACAGGAGTGATTGCTTTGTGGTAATTCATTCACTCAAAATTTGTGCTCCTTTTGTATGTATGTTATAGCTTGTCAAAAAAAAATTATTAAAAAAAAAATCTGTCATTCTTTTCCAATATAGTTTCTGGGCTTTCTGTGTTGTTGATTCCATCTTGAGGTTATACATTTATTTTCCTATATTCTCTCAGAATATTTTCATAGATTTGTTTTTTTGTTGTTGTTGTTGTTGTTTGTTTGTTTTCAGATATCTAATCTATCTGAAATTTATTTTGTTCATGGTATAACGGTCTTACATTTTTTAGTCCAGATGGCCCATCATTTTATTAGTACCATTTAATTAAATATAACATTAATTCCCCAATTGATTTGGGATGTCAGCTACATCATATATTGGTTGTAAGTTGTCATCAAGTCGACACCTGGCTCATACATGGTGACCACAAACAAAAGGAAATGCTTCCTGGTCTTGCACTATCCCACTATCAGTTGTTAATCAGACAGTTGTGATCCACAGGGTTTTCACTGGCTGATTTTAGGAAATAAATTGCCAGGTCTTTCTTCCTAGTCCATCTTAGTCTGGAAGTTCCACTGAAACCTGTTTAGCACCATAGCAACATGCAAGCCTCCACTGACAGATGGGTGGTGGCTGCACATGAGATACATTAGCTGGGAATCAAACCTAGATCTCCCACATGGCAGGCAGAATTCTACCACTGAACCACCAATGTCCCCCATATCATATATTCTTTGAATCCATTTTTGAATGCTATATTATGTTTCAGCTACTACTTACAAATTCTTATGCAAGTACCATATTCTTTTAATTATAGTAGTTGTATGCTTTAATATTGGGTGTACAAGAGCCCACCACATGCCCCATCAGTATTCAACAAGCTTTGAAACAGTGATGAATAATTCTGGCAAACCTCCCTGGCTTCTTGACCTTAATGGCAAAGATAACTACATGGCGAATATTTAGAATTTTATTGTTAATTGTACTGAATTTTATCAAATTGTTTTTCAATATCTATTGGTATTGAAACTAACCTCTATTTATTTTCCTCTTTTATTTTGCTGATATATTGAATTATGGAGATAGACTTAACAAATGAATCACCCTTTGCATTCCAGTAGCAAACTCTTCTTCAGTGTTTTTATAACTGAATACAATTAAAGTTTAGTCCTCAACCCACGTAACTGCATATATCATTTACCTAAGGAGGCCCGGGGTGAGAGATGGAGGACTTGATAAAAAGTAATTCCTTGTTCACATCCTAACTGAATCAGAATCTTTAGAAGTAGAACCTAGGAATTTAGATCTTTAATAAGCTCCTGGTGAGGTGGGGCCAAAATGGCTGAGTAGTCAGACACTTCCGATGGACTGTCTTACAACAAAGACCCCAAAAAACAAGTGATTGATTATATATGGCTATCTGGGAGCCCTGAGCATCAAAGGCAGAGTTGAGGAACCAGACTGAGGGGAAGTGGGAGGGAGAGATGGTTTGGAAGCAACAAAGAGTTGCCAGACCTGACACGACGAGAGCCTGAACCCTTCAGTGAGGCAGGCAAGCAGTGGTCCTTGGGAGGCACATTTTACACACTGGGAGAGACCCAGCGAGAGAGTCTATGTGGCCACCCAGAACCAGTAAGAAGCAGCCCTCATTGGCAAAAGATTAGTACTTGCATACAGCCTACCCTGCGGATCAAAAACAACCCCTTAGGGAAAAAGCTCTCTCCCATTTACCTTCCCTCTCCCTGCTCTGCACTGGGTCTCAGACCAGCTTCACCAATTGCTGAGTCCCCTGGGCTGGAAGAAGGATCTGTCACATGCCTGGAGCCATTCTCCCTGCCTTGGAGAGTGGACAAATTAACAAATGGAGAAAAAATAAACTGCCGGCTCCCCTAAGCCAGGAACCCAGGGTAGGCACAGCTCCTTTGCCTAGGCATAGGCATAAGGGGTCCATGGACTTTGAGTGCCTTTCCACCTGCATAGACTTGTGTGGGCCCATCTCAACAGCATAGGCCCTCATTACTGCAGTACAACAGGATATATACCAGAAGTCTAACTTCAACTGTTTCAGCTGTGAAGTGGCAGGTTCTTGACATTTGACAGTGCTCTGCCCATTAAGCAGGGTCTTTACCTACCACATCAGGGGCCTGAGGACTGGTAGCTCCACCCGCGCCACCTAGCCACCTGCGAGAGGGGCCTGTGAATAAGAGGTGCCCCCCAGTCCTTACAGCCAACAGCATTAGGTGCTCATAGTCCAGCTGCAAAACCTACCCACATATGCACTCTAGAGAACAGAGACACGCCTTCCTCTGGACACTCAGGGGCGGCCATCAGCCACCTGCCTTGCTCAGAGTGTGTCCCCCTGCGGCAGCCAGATGCCTGTGCCTACACCAATCACTCATGTCTGTCTAGGACTGTAAGTGAGAGTCTACACCACACAGTTCGTGGCTATCTACCTGGGCACCAGAGCTGAATCCATACAGGAGGAGTGGGTGGACTCCTGAGCTCACATACCTAGTAACAGATCTAACCACCTGGTGACAGGATATTAGAGCTTCAAAGGTGCCAATAATCAAAGTAGCTCATACAAGCAGCCTAATTCGGCATATCAAAACAAAAAAAGAAGCTAGGACACAGTAAACAAATATAAATAAATATAATAACTTATTGATGGCTCAGAGACAACAATCAAATCAGATAAAGAGGCAATCCATGATGGCTTCAGCAAGCTCCCAAAATAAAGAATCTAAAAATATTCCAGAGGAGGAAAATTTCTTGGAATTACCGGAGGCAGACTACAAAAGATTAATATACAGAACTCTTCAAGAAATTAGGAAGGAAATTAAGCAAAACGCAGAACATGCAATAGAGGAAATTAAAAACATTAGAGAAGAGTATAATGACAAATTCAACAGGCTGCAAGAATCCATAGAGAGACAGCAATCAGAAATCCAGAAGATTAACAATAAAATTTCAGAATTAGACAACTAAATACCAAGTCATAGGAGCAGAATTGAGGCAATGGAAGTCATAATCAGTGAGATGGAAGATAAAGCACTTGACACTGACTTATTTGAGGAAAAATCAGATAAAAGGATTTAACAAAAGAAGAAGAAATCCTAAGAATTATGTGGGACTCTATCAACAGGAATAACCTACGAGTGAGTGGAATACCAGAACGGGGTGGAGGAGGGGGATAACAGAAAATACAGAGAGAATTGTTGAAGACTGGTTGGCAGAAAACTTCCCTGATATCTTGAAAGATGACAAGACATCTATCCAAGATGCTCATTGAACCCCACATAAGGTAGATCCCAAAATAAAGTCACCAAGACAGATTATAATCAAATTTGCCAAAACCAAAGATGAAGAGAGAATTTTAAGAGTGGCTAGGGATAAACGAAAAGTCATCTACAAAGGAGAGTAAATAAGAATATGCTCAGCAGAAATCATGCAGGCAAGAAGGCAATGGGATGACATATATAAAGCCGTGAAGGAAAAAAACTGCCAACCAAGAATTGTATATCCAGCAAAACTGTCTCTCAAATATGATGGCAAAATTAGGGCATTTCCAGATAAACAGAAGTTTAGGGAATTTGCAAAAACCAAGCCAAAATCACAAGAAATACTAAAGGGAGTCAGGTTAGAAAATCAACAACATCAGATAACAACCCAAGACTACAAAACAGGACAGAGCAACCAG